TACACTCCATCGGCGCAGGCGCACTATACCTAGACGTTGCACTGCACGAGAGGTGCACGCAACCCGCGATTTGGTTTTGCGCCCTCTAAAGGGTTCAGGAGAGGCTTATCTACAGGGAACTAAAGCACTGATGAACCCGATTTTTGACCTCTAGAAGCGGAGAGATAAACAGTGCAGATCATACTATTATAGATAAATTGCAGAAGGAACTACAAGCAGCTGCACCCGCAAAGCTGACAACGCTCAAAACAACTACCTTGAGATGCTAACCCCAATCCAAAGATGGTGCAAACGCAATCGGGGCGTATTCCGATTTATTTATTCAGCCGAAAGACCTAAGAGTATTGAAGTCTCCAGTCAATGTAATCGCTTTCAACTGCCGATAATCACCCATTTCCTCGCGTTCGTTTTCACCTCAATAGTCCGACCAGGCGGGACGCCGGCCAGTGTTCCGGCAAATCTCCGACTCCGGATTCTTCACCTGTTCTGGAGCACTTCAGTGTGCTAAATACAGATATCGATTTGAATTACCATGTAGTTGTCAAAAAACAGAGATTCCGGACATTTTTGGACTGACGGAAATGGTAGCAATTTCAAGTCATCAACCTTCTCCTTAATTCCGAAACAAGCATATGCGTTTCTCGCAAGAAGGCACTGCTTTAAGAAACACTTCCAATGCTAAGGAGAAAATCACTAAACGTCTGAGGCGATTTTCTCTATTATCACGGCAAAGCGTTCATTTTTTTAGGGGTAGCTTAGTTTGAGACTCGGCCATCATTATCTATAGGAACCCAAACCTGTTTTGCGCGGACACTACCTTCATGGCAAGCATCTCTTCCTGTTCGGAGTGTTTTAATGGGAATAGCCTCCAATTGCGATAGTGATCAACCAAACACGCAGAAAAGCAGTAACGTTCATTTGTAATAGTACACTCCAGGAGGAGGCGCAGGATGTCAGTCGAAGAGGCTAGGAATTTACGAGTAGGAAAGGTGAGGTGTTGGAGTCTAAGGCTTCAAATAATGGGTATATAATCATAAAGTTTGTCGCCTTACGCATGCCTCCCCATTATGGATGCTTTAGATTGTTGGCGGGCGATGGCGTCTGATTTCCAAACTTGGTGAAGGCGCAATGGGAGCAGTTTACAAAGTGGAAGATAGGAACAGAAAGAACTTTTTGGGAGCAATGAAAGTAATTTTTAAAAAATTTATTGAACGAGATTTCTTCTACGAAAGATTGCGCTGCAGGTGGAAGATGATCTGACTGAAGGCGGGGTTTTGAAGCTAGAGGTGTTTGTTCTAAAAAAGTTGCAAGCGCTGAAGTACGCAATAAGACTGTACGATTCGGGAAAGACAATGAAGTACTGGTAAGATCCATTCATACAACTTTGCACCAAATTTGATAACATCAGTTTCTGTGGATCTTATATAGTTAATGCAGCAGACAGCTCAAGTGATTTTAGCTATGTTTGCATGTATGTAAACTTTTCTGCACCCAAAGCATGACGCCAAAGCATAACAGGAGAAAGTGATATCTATTGAAAATTTCATATCTGTCATATGTGAAAATTTAGTTTCATGGTGATGTCACTATGTGGAGAAGATTTGATGACCTTGAAAAGAAGTGCTAGAAAGCCATTATCAGAGT